CAAAATTATATATATATATAAATAATTATATGAGGTGTGCATAGCAAACTCGCTTAAAATGGGACAGAGCTTGAATCGAACGAGAGCGTGAAGACTTCAATTTCGATACCAACGCTGTCGACTTTGACTGGTCCGTAGGCAATAAACGATATAACGGTGTAGCTATTGTTTTGATCATGTAACCAACCAGTTACATATGTAAAATAGGACGTTCACCTTTGTGAGTGGAATTACAATATGCATATATAAAATTAGCAATCAACAAAAAATGAGTAATTGATGACGTTGCCAAAATGACAACTGCTGATACAGATTCGGGTGTAGTTACGGGCGACGACGCCACTGCGGCGCCCGGCTCGCCCATCGCTTCGCTGGCGACGGCCGCTTCCCGTACGACAAACGTCACAAATGCCACAAGCGTCGGCGCAGCTGCATCAGCTGCCACGGTTCGCTCTACTATTATATCTACTACTACCACTACTACTACTACTACTACTACTACTACTACTACTACTACTACTACTACTACTACAACTACCGCCACAACGGCTATCTCTAGTTCAGGGGTCTCTTCGGCAAACAGTGGCGTAGCTGCTGGCGGCGGCGGCGCTGCGAGCGGTGCTGGCACTCCAGACGCCCTACGCGAAGTCTCCGTAATTCGCTCTGTATCCGCTACGTCCCCAAGTTGCGTGGCACCTTCGCCCGCCCCCCTGAACAACAACAGCAACAGAAATAACAGCGTTGCTGATAACGGCAGCAACAGTAACAATAACAGTAATAATTCGGGAAATAACGGCGCTATACCGCTATCCAAAGGCAGTATCCAAGCGACAACGACTACTGCGACAGCTGTCGCGGCAACGAGTGCCCCCACCACGCAATGGTCGCCCACCAACAGCTCAGGAGGATCAACAAAAAGTGAGAAGCGAAATTTTTTAAAAGAAAAAATACCAGACAGAGGTGCGAAAGAGGGTAAAGATAATATAGAAAACAGAGTCGGCATATTCACGAAATCTATCTGACACTGAACGACATCAATTGAAAGGAATGAAAATTGCATTATTATAATACAATGAAACCGATGTTCTGTTGCATTACAATTTTTGTGCCTCACCGGTCGCTTACTTATTTTCTGAGTCTTTTCCGTTTTAGCTGATATAACCAGTTTCCCCATTGGCCACTGGCGCAATATGGACGGGTCGCTGCTCTTCTTCTTACTAACAAATATTATAGTACCAATTTCATACTGACTTCCCATTCTAGTCTACTATTGCCATCACAAGGCGTCACCAACGCGTCGTCTACATATGCAGTACTATCTATCCAACGTACATACATGTCTTGCCTTGAGTACGGCATATGAGCTAGCGCACTTGCTCGTACTAGTCATGACTTTGTGCTCCCCCGAGATACCGGTTCTAATTAAGACTGACTCCTCTTTATCATAAGCACCGTCCTATTTCCCTTTTGCCTTTCTTTTCGACCGTGTGCCATTTTCCTGCTGCTACCGCTTATCTCACCACGATCAGACGACGCGCGGCTGTCCAGCGTATTCTGTCTGAGTTTCCCCGTTGCCGACATCTGATATCGTCTGCGGAAAAGAATGAAAACATTAAGCATGTGTGTGGGTGTTGTATAAGTCCTGTGGGTGTCGATGTTTCAAGTTCGAATGAACTTTTGTTTTTGCGTGTGTGTTTTTTCCTAAGTAAATTTGCAGGCTGCTATAGGAAAAAAAGTTTTTCATGTTACTTGACTTAATTGCCCAAGTTGAAATCTCAATATCACTAGGCATTTATCTTATGTGTAGCAACTCTAAAGTAACTGATATATGTTTTGATTCCTTGCGGTTTTTTTCTCGATGTATTTATTTTTTCAGTATGATCATATATACATTTCTTAGTTTCTACGTTTGATTTGATCCGTAACATCCGCTTTTTCTAAACATATACTGAAATTCTCGAGATCCCTAAAGCTTCCGCAATTTGTTTTTGAGTTTTATTAATTTCAATTGGAGGACATTTTTAATTTTTTGTTTCTTGATTCCATAAATGGTGTTTATTTTCGTTTCTAACTAGTTGTCTTAAACTGGGTCGCAAATTTTCGCTGATAGAAGCGTAAGCCTCTGTGTTCCCACACAGGTTATAGCGTTTACCTGTATTGGTCTTCAGTTCCTGCGTGTGAATTTTTTTACCTGGATGGAGGCTGAACGTTTTTTGAGACATTTGCCTGCTGCGCTGTTGCAATTACTACAATGTTTATTATTTAATGCTAAAAGATAGGAAACTCTTCATTTGATCAAAAACACTCTTCAATACTCTGTGTGTAATATTACCATTATATTTCGTGTTGTCTAGCGCACCGATTCATCATCGTCCTTTTGGAACACCGACTATACGTCCGCTGCCTATTGACGTATATTGGTGTTATTGCATTTCGTTTATATTTACCTGAAACATAGGTAACCTCTTTGTGGTCGTCTGATGAACTGTTACTGCTCTGTACCAACGTACCTACTTCCTGGATCAACCTCTTAAAGACTCTTTCCTGATGATCTTAATTCCGTAACTCATTTCCACCTTAAAGGCTGACGAAAATATTTTCGGCATCTAAGTACATCAATGAGCCCTCGAAGTCTACCGATCAACGTATTTAATTGGTGTTTCATGATTGAGTAATGCACGTTCAATTTAGGCCAGCCGTATTTTATTAATAAGAAAAACACCAACAGGCTTTAATAGAATTAACAACTATGTACAATACTTACATGCCGTGCCTAAAATATGGCGTGCATCTTTGAGATGTGCTTTGATTCATTAATGGCGTATACTATTACCAAATGGATTCTTTTTTTTATTAGAGCTCAAAGTAAACTTGAGAAGACGGCGTGTATCTGCACACTTTGTATGCAAATACACACTGCACACTCTAGCGATAGTGCTTAATCCAATGATTTGTGATTAATATTGGATAGTCCTTTTACAATCGTTTCATATTATGTGTGCGTCCAAACATCACTGTAACTTCATTAAGTTCTAGAACTGCTCACTAACTAAGCAACTAGATTCATCGGGTGCCACTTACTTCACGTTGCATAAAAACCCTGAAGTGCATTATATACAGGACAAATACACATATTTACATGCGCACCATTACCGACTACGATTATGATTAGTCTGCTAGTTTTAATCGCAAGGCCGATCATTTTGCCGTGATCTATACTTGTAGATTTACAAATACGCTTTAACGATTCCGATGTATGCGTGCGCCAAGTCAGTTGTCGCCCCCCGTGCCCATTATTTAGGGCGATTGGCTAAAAGCGCGCCGCTTGCTAGACAGAACATACTTAGAGAAAATTTATTTTGCAAGGCTGTGTAGACACCTACGTGCGACTAACCCAACAGTGGTAAAATCATATTGGTGGATACTGACGAGCTATACTTGGGTATTGGACCTGTGCTCTCCTTTACGTGAACACATACACCATGACAGCTTAGATTTCTGCGTGACGGGGCACGCAGGAGCTCAAGTGCGACAATCCTTCCTCGTCGACATTGGGTCCGTATCCTTGCCCCGACTGACGGGTTATGAAAATATCGAGACAGCCTTGTCCGGACCCAGTACTAACGTCTAAGCCTTGCCCATCTGGTTTGTCGTTTCGTTTGTCTGTCGTTCTGTTTGCTTGGTCCTGCTTCGCCTTTACGTTATTCTCCGGGGATTTCTCTGACGGCGCTGCTATTCCACCGCTGTTCCACACCATCTGCTTGGATATCATGATTGCGATGATTATGACTTGATGATCACCCCTGCAGAAAAAAAGGCCGAGGCTTTGCCGGTCGAAGAGGCGATGGCGCATTATCGCTACACCGGCGCCACGACACACGTGCACCCGTTCCTGTCCTCACTGGTCAACTACGCGCAGCCCGTCAAGTTTCAGGGCTTCGATGTGGCCGAGGAGAAAAACGTGCATCATTGCATGAGTTCGTTTGCCGAAACATCAGCACTCAGTTATCTCAAATCACAAGCTATCGAATTTGTAAATTATAACAAACGACAGCTCTCACGAATCTACCCGAAGGGTACAAGAGCAGATTCGTCCAACTTTTTGCCGCAGATCTTCTGGAATGCTGGGTGCCAAATGGTGGCCCTTAACTTCCAGACCCCAGGTAAGTACGCAGATGTGGAATAAAAAAGATGCAATGCGTTGATAATATTTGAAATATGGCTTTAACAGTTCATCTCCTATTAACTTATTTGATCTAGCAGATTAAAAGTCTGTAACAATAATTTGTCATTTATTGGGAAATTTATCAAGTTTATCTAGTATTATCCAAAAGAAAAGTGCGAGTACTACATAATGAGTATTCTACTTTTCGCGGGTTTTCTTGCGTAGAAACTATGGAAAAACTGTTTTCAAAACCTCTATTGTTAAGTAATCTATAAGAGACCCACCCAGAGCCGCACACACACACACACACACACACACACACACACACACACACACACACACACACACACACACAAAGACACACAAACACACACACACACACACACACACACACGCGCCCACACACACACACACACACACACACACAAAACACACGCGCCCACACACAGACACACACACACACAACAGACACACACACATACGCACAGAGAGAGAGAGCGAGAGATGTATAAAGAATGAGTCATCTGCTTTCTTGGATCTAGCTCAATGTGGATGGCGCTGAAACCTTTCCAGGGTCCTTTTTACTTTTTTTTGAACAACTAATCCATCGTAGGGGTTGTGTCAGCACCTCACGTTCGACAGCTTGATTTATCATTCTGTTTTATTGAGAAGTTAATCTATTCGCTTCTGATCCGTTTTAGATCTTCCAATGCAACTAAACCAGGGTAAATTTGAATACAACGGAGGGTGCGGGTACCTGCTAAAGCCGGACTTCATGCGTCGGCCGGACAAGACCTTCGACCCCTTTGCGGAGTCACCGGTGGACGGAGTGATAGCCGCTCAATGTAGCGTTCGAGTCATCTCCGGACAGTTCCTGTCAGACAAGCGAGTCGGCACTTATGTCGAAGTCGATATGTACGGCCTGCCGACTGACACCATCCGTAAGGAGTGTCGCACTCGGATAGTACCGAATAACGGATTAAATCCTGTCTACAACGAAGAACCGTTTATCTTCCGCAAGGTGGTCCTGCCCGACCTAGCCGTGATCCGAATAGCCGTGTATGATGAGAACGGGAAGATGCTCGGCCAACGGATCCTGCCGATGGACGGCCTACAGGTTTGTGGGCTTCTGAACCCGATCTGTCGATACGAACTATCTATTGCCAAATAAATGCTCGTCTCTATTTACTATGTCGGTATATAGTCAATGTATGTGTTCGTTTGATTAGTACTCGTAAGGGGGCGAACAAGCATTCCTTGGTTTCGCGCTAAATCCACACAGACATTAATACTTGCCCAGCTACCTCGTAACTTATGGCATTTGTTGCTATACCTTAATACACCTAACTACAAAGTTTATAAAATATTTACAAAAACACATACACCCAGCAATAGGTGCAATCTAACGGATAGATATTCATTTTTCGGTTCATCATACGTGTCCCTTATTTAGTATCGAAATATTTCTTGTTCAGGTATGTTAGCAATAGGCTATTGTATTTGTAAAAAATATCGTAGTGTTTTAAGGGTGCAGTTGTACGAAGATAAATGATGAACATGATAACCCCCTATTGCGCCAGCGTGCGGCCGGGGAAGATAAAAATAGATTTACAGTTGGGCAACGAATGGGCTTATAGTTTTTTATATGCGCATGCGTACTCTTCCATATGTAACAATATGCATTGTTGATACATTAGCAATTGTAAGTGTACCCCTATCAAACTCTAAATGCGTTGATCAATATAGTATCTAATAATAACAGTTATACTAAATGAACTTGAATACTGAGATACTTGTTGAATAATGTACTTGAAATTTTAATCGAATATCTCTGAACATCATGATAAGTGATCGACATAGATAACTTGAAGTTTCAATCACTAAGAATTCTTGCTCAGTTAAGAATAGCTTCTAGACATTTTGGCTAACTTTGAGCTAAGTGTGCATATCCAAGACGGCACTGTTCGCGAATGCCACATAGAAAATTCTGTTATTGTAAATTATTCGTATATATAAAATAAACTAAAAGGAACATGCTAAAATTATTTATTTGATGAATTTTCTCACGATTCTTTTAATTTAATTTAATTTAGTTTAAGTAATTTAACATACATAAACACGGTGTTTGGCAAATACCCAAATAATTATTGACATAATATTCAGTGTAGCAAACCATCGTTTGCTTTCGGCGTAAGCTACCTCCGAAAAATGGTTGCATGATGCGTTTTCCATAGTCGATAACAGGACTAAGCGGTGTCACAGTTTACAAGCTAGCTGGGTTACATAGAGTGGCAGAAATTGATATCTAGTGGGTTGACTCGAAGTGTCATCGTTCGAATATTTTAACCGCTGACAACCTTAAAATGAACATCTGCACAGATGTGGCCAAATGATTCATCCCTATACTTTCCTATCATCATTCTGATGAGAAACAAAAACCCGGTTGTATTCAATTTTGGAATCTAGTTTTTCGGGTTCTATGTTGCAGGCGGGCTACCGACACGTCTCACTTCGCACCGAAGGAAACTTCCCCATGTCGCTTGCTATGCTGTTCATTTGCATCGAGCTAAAGATTTACGTACCTGATGGACTGGGCGATCTTATGGATGCGCTCAGCGACCCCCGGGCCTTCCTCAGTGCGCAAGAGAAGCGGCTCGTGCAGATGCGTGCGATGGGTGTCGAAGACGCTGACCTGGTCGCCTCTTCTGGAGGGGACTCCAGCCTTACTGGACCGCCATCGGGGGGCGGTTCCGCAGGCGTCAAAAGGTTTGTATTTAGCTAACAAAAATGGAGAACATCAAAACTTCTTGCCGGCAGGACATTATTTCGCATCACCTTTTTTTTGGCAAACGTTTTGGCAGTTCTTTTGCCACAGCTCAGCTTCGTTTCCTGTTTTCATTTTCGTTATCGTCTCCATGTGTTTTCCTTTACGAAGATCCTTTCGTGAATCGTTTTTGGTTGCGTTTGGCACCTAAGTTCAATTTAGTTTACTTACTTCGTACGCATTAAGAGCATCGATGACGTCTGAGTATTAGGACCTCGTTTCTATCGACCAGGGACCAAGATAAGCAGAATGACACGCCGAAGCTTGAACCCATCACTCTGGAACAGCTGAAGACTACTAAGGAGTTTGTCAAACTGAAGCGTAAACAACAAAAAGAGCTCGATTGTATGACAAAGAAGCAGTCTAAAGAGAAGCACTCGATGCAGAAACAGCAGACGGCCTCGATTGACAAAATGGTGAAACAATCGGCCAACAAACTTAGCCCCAATGACCATGCCGTGCAGAGACTTGTGAGGGAACACGCAGATCAGTGGAGCGCGCTTAAGGAAAAGCACGCTAAGGACTACTTCAAGTTGTTAAGGTAGGTAAGAAGTTTCAAGGATGCAGACGCTTTTTCCTTATCGTGACAGAGAAAAAACATCTCAGTTTCATCTTATTTATATGCCGAAACCCTGTCAAAATTAATTTAGCATATATATATATATATATATATATATATATATATATATATCAACGAACATCTCTAGACTCAACCTTTATTTCACTAATTTAGTGATTTGGTAAGTATCTCGCGGCATAAATCATCTATCCCATCACTGCAGGGACCACACAAATCAACAAGGAGTGGTGTTGAAAGCGCTTCTTATTCGGACACAGCAGAGACAGATGAAGGCGCTGGAGAGCCGCTTTGAGAGCGAAAACAAAATCATGAAAGCAAAACAGGCGCGGGTTTCTGTTGAGACAGCCCGAGAGGTCAGCGGTGACAAGACACTACGCAACAAGGCCGAAAGGGAACGGTAGGCCGTCGATTATCATCACTATCATCCCTTCCTTCTTCTTCTTATTATTATTACTATTATCATTAATCACAATCGGTTAACACATCGGTTATTAATGACGTTGTTTCTTGTGAAAAACTCGTAACTTTAAGACAACTTTTTTTACGAAAAGGCTTCAATACGAAAGTGCAGGTTAAAGAGGTGGGTAAAGAAAGGCAGTGTTGTTTAATGTTTAGGCGTCTTCGTGAGAAAAATTCAAACAACACGAAGAAGTTTATCGAGGAACGGAAAACAGCTGCATTGAAACAAAGCCGAGAACGGGAAAAAATTAAGAAGATCCATGAAAAGCAACTCAATGATGTACTGCGTGAGATCGATAATGTAAGTTGCACAAAGTTTTCACGCACTTCTTCGCCAAGTTAATCACCTATCAACTAATCACACAATATCTATTCACAAGGGTTGCAACTGTGTCTGCCGTTCTTTCAATATAAAACACGCATTCACTTCACATAACACATAGTTACTGCTAAGACCGATTACCTAAGTAGCAAGAACATTGGTTGAAGCAGCTGAACATTAGAAGAAATATGTCTGATCAGGCGTGGAATTCGGAAGAAACAGAACTTTGTTGATTCGATCTTTGTCAGACTTTACAGCATCTATCTTAGGTCACATACGGTGTTGTATAGATGCTAAAGCGGAATGGTTCTTTGTGAAGATGATCCGGTGCAAAGTCAGTATCGGTAAGGATTCGGAAATAACATGACGTGTCTCACAGATACGGTACGGTCACGTATACACCACCACTAATATTGAATGCGGGTTTACATTAACATATATAGTCCTGGTGGTCGTACTTGTACGACGAATATCCCTTTAAACTAGATTATAGTAAATTATCATAAACACCTTATTTCATTTTAATACATTTGGTATAGTATATTACTCAGCCGTAACGTCGGTGGTTGAAGTAATAGTAATGAAAGTGATAATTCTATATCATTATAAACAGACGAGATAAAACTCGAGAATAATCTGTTCTGCTTGTTCGCTATCTGTTATAGGACGAAGAATTAATTTTCATACAAAAACAAGCCAATAAGAATAGTTGGCCTTCAGTTATAATATCGTGTAGCCAGAGCTTTTTCCCATTTACTCGGCACTATTTTTAAGTCAATTTGGAAACCATGCTGGAATTAGACTTTGTGTTCAATGAAAAGCGTATTGTCCTTTATGATGCCTGGGTACTCACGCAACGAGAGTCATAATTAGCCTTACGAAGTTGTTCGTGGGTCAGTGCCGACCTCACTACTCCTCAATTTTTTCGTGTACGACCAAACTATCTTGCGTCCTCTATGAATGCTGCGTTCGTGGCTATCCACTAGCTCGTATATTCTTTCTATCCTGTTTTGCCTTGGCTAGATAATTATCGAGTAAACGGCAAAAGCCCAACCGAGAAGCGAAACGATGCAAGTGTTGAAATTGCTATTTTATATTATAACAGCTAAAGAGAAAGACGGAAAGCATAGATTGGCAGTGTGAAATGAATGTACATACGGAAATTTTGTGTACAGTGTATCTGCGGTAGAGCGATAGAGATTGCCGAAAGTCCACAGTGATAATTCTAACTGCATGACTCAGATCTCTGTGCGTATCGTTCTTCAGTTGTCAGCAAACGAAGACGAAAATTCTGCGATTTGATAGAATACTTTCTATATTGGCAGATGATGTATGAGAAAACGGAAAAATTTCCTTGTTCTATTGAAAAAGATCAGATTTTCTATCAAAGTCTATCGTCTCGAAGCTAAACGTGATCTGCGTTCCTGCCTGTTACAACTGTTGTGCGAAGCGTATCTGAGTCCTCTCGGTGAAAAGCAACTCTGTGCCCACCTCATTGCTATATGTTGATTCATCGATAGAATACAGTTTACCTTGAATCTAAGAACATTCATTTCTATAACGTGTATGCCTGTATCTTAATACATCCAGGGTCTGCTAATAACTAATAGCTATTTCGTTTCCTGCCTACCCAGAAACATCCTTTTTTGCTGCAAAACCTGGCTATTACGTTTGTTTTTCTAGAAATAGTACAAATGCTGTGCGAGATATATATATATATATATATATATATATATATATATATATATATATATGGATGCGCGAACGATATGTGCCGTTGTTGCTGGCTTGCCATGGTGAGTTTTTCTTCCGATGATCATCTGCAGAATCTGGAGGAGCTGAGCCAGCAGACATCGGTGATACTTCCCGACCGCATGAGCTGTATCTCAAACGATCTGACAAGTACCTGCCAGGAATCGGATATCGACCTCGATCTCGGCTTGTTTCACCAACCCGAATCTCCCCAAGGCCCGCCGCCTCAGCGAATCTCCCCAGAGGGTGGCTCAGCCGCCCACAAGGCGCCGCCTAGCCTAGATGTGCCCGTGACCCCGTAATTTCAACACATTCCCACTCTTCCCTCGATCAGAGTTCTGTGTATGCCTAAAACCCTTCCACTTTACCTAAATACATGTATCCGTATCGGGTGAACAAACTGTTTTACTTTTTCATGTTCCGAGTCGCTCCGTTATATAAAGCGATAGTTACGACGGACACAAACACAACAATAACAGTTAAATACAAAATAATAACAATTGTCCGCTTTCGCAAGTAACAGCTGACAAAAACCAAATTGTTGGTGGGATGTCGAGAACTGAAATCACATACGTTCCACCATACAATCCGAGGCGATACAAAGACATATATACATAGGCATTTATAAACAGTTTTACACGCATATTTTATAGACACTTGCCTGGGAACTTAAAAAAGGCGCGTGCAGTTTGAAAGAACATGTAGACAGCAAAGTAACTAGAAAGGTAGAAAGTTGTGATGTAAAAGTGTGTATTATTACTATTATTAGATGTAGCTTTTTCTTAAAAGTAGAGTTCCTTACGCCCGACTTTAGTAGAGAGACAGGCAACTTGTTTAAATGAATGCTAGTAGCACACATAGCTCTGTTTAATCTGCTAAGCTGTTTATTGACTTTGGAGTTGTTGCTATCTTATGGTTATATAGGTAGTAAAGGAGTCTGGATACATGATATAATTTCTATTTAACCAATATATAATACAGCGTCCGTATACTTTAATATAGGAACTTCCGTCCGCTTATGGAAAAGCCGAAATACCCGCTCGTCGATCATTACGGCTCTCTATTATTTAGAATACCTATCCGTCCATTATATCACACAAATTACATTGAAATACACTATGGAACTTAATATAGTTACAAATTAGCCAATATTATCATTGTAGAAATATCTCTGGTCAGCATCGTATCGCCACTGTTTTACAAATAGAAATTTACATATAGATATATAAGCGCCATGACAAGTGATAGTGCTAGATAGTGAAAATGGGTTAGGGTTATTATAACCGTTCATGATGCGACAACAGATGCCAGGTAGGCCAACAGTTTTGCAACGCACGATTATTGAGGATGGTTTTCTGGTGAGACCTTCAGTGTACACGTTTATGTGCAGGTACATTAGTTAACCCGCACCATATTGATATATGAGGGGTATCGAAAGATAGATTCAACTTGTCTCCTTATAGAAAAAACTCGTTGTGGGTTCCGTAAATCTGCCCCGTAATGTTTTCTGCTTTACTAATTTGCATTAGCGGCAAGCGAGTGGTTACTAATATACATTCTAGACGCACGCTACGTTCTTCCGGTAGTAAATTTTAATACGAGAGACTACGTTATTGCCTTGTAAGGCAGCACGTACGTGCTAACCCTAAAGAACCTATTATTTTCAAACACTAACTTTCCCATCGAATAACGAAATATCTTGTGGAATGCAAAAATATGACTTAAAGTTATTTCCTTTACTCATTCAACGGTTGGGTTTGTAAAAAAATGATGACGAAAAAATGTTTTCTGTCTCCTTGTTACGACTTGCCTAGATATTTTTTGTGTGAACTTTTTTCTCGTGCATCTATACATATCAGGCCACCTCTATACGTCTCTACTATCATCGCCCAGGCCTTCCATTCTATAAGAACAGGCCCGGCGACCTTCTCTCTTCCTCTTTAGCTATCTTGTTGGAAAGTACATTTACATCTTACTTACGCCTTCTGTGGAAACTGAAGTTTTATCTTCATTTCTTTTTGCATTTATTTACAAAACCTATTATTATTATTATTATTATTATCATCATAAACCTAGTAGTCTGCGAAGGGCGTCAATGATCAAGCCGTCTTCGTCATTCCAATGCCAGTAAGAGAATTACACTTGAGCACATCGTACTAACATTTATTAATAATGCTGATATCTACAGTTGAATGAAATTAAAAAGCTTGTTATTCCCATCTGCGGTCAAAATACGGACGTTTAAATTCGATGTCAACTTTATCAGCGTGACAAACGATCATATCGTAAAGATTCATGAAGAACGCACCAAGTGTTCTTACTACGGTAGACAATAAGATATTAGCAAAAAAAAAACAGGCAGATAATAGATCAGACGTTCAGAATATTTTCGTTGTGCTAAGAGGGTACCTAGGCTATGCTGTGCTCTATACAGTGGATCTATATGTTCGTGCCATATGTAATATATATGGCACGAACGAACTAAAGATACGATTAGAAAGTAATTCATAATACAATTATCACGGTAATTTCACATCCTATGATTCAAGTTCAGCTTAGAACAGTAATACATATATATTCTAGGCGCAGTGCTTAAGCAGTACGTTTAAACATACATATTGAGGCATATATATAGAGTGACCATATACGTATACACTATAACATAATCGGTTCAATTTTATGTAGCCTTTAAGAATAAACCTTTCGACCAGACTATAATAGATGCTCTTGCCGATAGCTGTCGTATCAACAAAATAGGCATAAGCCACTTAGATCAACTAGGAGAATCGAAGTATGGGGTGAACTCAGTTGCTGGGCAGGTCGTTGACGTTAACTAATTAACATCAATATAGACGAAATAAAGAAATGTCTATACGTAGTTAAATACCAATTTTAGATATAATTGCAGAAGCATTAAGGAAACGTATTTTACACATATCAATTTGTACATCGATTGAGCTGCATCGGCTGGGCTCCGGGACGAATTTTATCCCCAACACTCTCGTGTATCTAACGGTAACCATAGCCAGCAGTGGATTATTTCAGTGATGATGATATGTTTCCTAGAGTAGTATAATTCTATTAAAGTAAAGTATCGGTAATCTGCGAAATTTTGGCCGAACACAACGCTGCCAATAGAAACAAGTCTGGATCCCATAAGATAAATCTATAATAACTAGAACTATAATAGTAAGTAACTCTGAGTTTCCAAAGCAAACGACTTGTTTCCATATACGCACATATCGTATATATGAAAGTACGAAGACGATCAAAGACAGATTTGTTTATTTAGGTTACAAAAAAAAAAACTTGCAATAGACTTTCTATAGGCCTGGTATTATTCATAGATATGGGCGGGAAGCATTAGATATTGTAGAACGCAGTTGGAAGCGTTACCGATATTTTTACAATGGTGAGGTAGCAATCAAAAGCCATATGTTTTCATGTTCACCAAATACAAAATACGTTCTGGTTTTGGTAAAAGCAGCACATACACAGACTCGAATATAGTGTACGACACTCAAAAACAGAGGTCACCTTTTTGAGTAGACGCTTTTTTCCACTGGACGATGCGCTTCAACACGTAGAACTACTAACCTCTTCTACCCACTAACACTTTCCACAGTTGTAGGATACTATTACTATTTCACACCCGTTATAGTAATTATCATTATTATGAATGCCTATTGCGCCTGAAACTCCTACAGGTCCTGTCTGCCTAGAGGTCGATACTCTCATTTTTGTTATCTTTTTTGTTTTGCTTGAAAATATATTTGCATTTCGATACAATATTCTTCCATTCAATTTTACCCAGAAGTACTTTTCGTTAAACTGCGTCTCCTGCTATCAAAAAGCTGTGGCCCTTCTTCCACCCCAGTTCTTCCGTTTATTCGTGTGAACTGAGCGCTACCTATCCTTTTTCCAGTCACTTGTTAGATTCGACTTTTTTTTCCATCTATCGCCATCTTTTTCCCGTTTCCTCGACTCGTTTTGCTGGTCTGCGCCGATATTCTCCAGTTCCCGACCGCTGACTGCTCCCCCATCGGGCACAGCTACTTTTCAGCTTCCTCGACTGCCCCCGCCTCCCCTCTCCGTTCGGCGAAAGAATCGTACCAGTGGCCTGCTTGCCCTTACCATATCAGCCTGATACTGCACTGCTACAGCGTCTCGGTAGAAGTTGCCGATGCTGTTCCGCCAGAAGCGTGCGCGATCGATCGCGCAAGGAGAAGACCAGGAAGAGCCAGCTTTACCTGCTACTGCTACTACCACCTGCCCTGATGGCTATTCTGTGTGACGACGGAATGGTGATTATGTGTTTGAGCTTGAGCGTTCTTCAATTTACTTGTTGGTTTGATTATTTGTTTGTAAATTCATTTTTGCTGTTTGTACTATTTAATTAATTGATTGACTGGGTCATTATGTGATCTAAACCTTGGTTGTGGATAGGTGATTGATGCAGTGTATATTGCTCGTCACATCATTGGCGACCTGTCAACTAGCTAAAAAGACTTTCTATTTGGACTTTTAATTTTGGACATGTCAGCAGCTTGATGGAAATGGCTCTCTAACAGTGACGACAATATAGAGAACAAAGGTTGACTGTAGACAAAATATTTTTTGCATGAATTACCCTAAATGCGTATTAGTGCCACACCTTTAGTGGGTTCACTTATCGTCGAAACATTTCTGTTGCATTATCTACGTCGTAAAAAAACACGCAGTGGGTGATATGTGATAAGTTTGTAACCAAAGGGATGTTTGTTTGATAAACCAGTACCTATGTTGTTGTTGTTAATATGGCATGCATTTACGTATGTTTAACTTGACGAATACTGCGAATGTGTTAGGCAAAAGCTTTATCGGCTAGGTCTTACAGAGCGCTTGTTGAGCTCAAGTTGGCTTTAGGCTGAAATAACCAACACGTTGCACGGCTGTGTGATAGAGTATTTTTATTTTAGTAAAACTAACAAGTGATAGAGTACGCCAGCGTTTCATGGGCTGAAATGAAAAACGACTGAAGTATAAAAATCACATGTTGGCATTTTATTGCAGATAACGGGCAAAAGCTTAAATGTCTCCGTTCACCTCGTGTCGGATGTAAATAAAACATTTTCTTTGACACCCGAAATGTATTAGTACTAACTAAATGCGGTTGTGGCTCGCAGCATTTGTCGCATTCGTTATACTAACCGTAATATATACATATATATATATACAAATCCGTACCTGGAGGCTGTTCTGTCCAGATTTACTTCATAGGCTGTAAATAATACTTCTACCTTAAGGGAATAGTATCATAAGCCTAACATATACGCAACTCACGTGTCTTGGAATTATTTAGAATTAGAAGCAAGCGCATTAATCCCAATCAGTTAACTTGGCGTAGCCAGGTCTTCTGCTTGTGCGACATGAGTAACTGCACTACTCATGTAGCTTTTGAATGCCCTTCACCTCAGCGTGCAATATGGCTCGAAGCACAGTTATTGAGCACTAGGGCTTCGCGCATGCAGTGATTAGTTACGATCGCTTACAACGGCATTTTCACAGATTACAATTACGTAGTCAGGAAGCCAGGGCTTGTATGTGTTCTTATAACGAATTTAACGAAGTCTGACTGTCCTAACAATGATTATAGATCTATTTTTCGTAGAAGGATACGTTAGTCGTCGTTTGAACTACACACACAAGATCTTCCGATGACATTGGAAAACATGTGAAAGCTACTCATTATTAAACCGCGCACCTACCTGCTACATTGATAAGTTGATGCAAGTTCAGGGAATGTTCAAAGTCCGTACTTGTTGTACTACAATAGCAGTAACACAAAGTATCAACATCAAATCAAATCAAAGCTTAATAATCAACTTTGGCCTTTGATATAGCCATCTCGTTTACATGTTTAGGCATTCATATAAACTAACCTTATTAATTTAATTGCTGTCTATCCCGTCCCTCTTCATTTGCCATCCGAATCGTCTGTTGGTGCTTACAGAGCTTGGAGCGGTACAACGCTACGGAAACAGAGATCCTCCTCAACGCCAAGACGGAATGCTACGTCTAGTGGTCACACTATTATTCATAACTTGATTGTTAGAACACTCCTTACAACAACAGCAGCAACAACAACAACAACGACAACAGCGACAACAGCAACAAGAACAGGAATTACCGCGAATTTTAAACACGCACATATACATTTGGCCACGCATGCGTAAATGGCACAAGCTTTCGTCCGTTAGCGGCACCTTACGCTGGCGTCAATGCAAGAAGGAAAAGGAAAAAAAGGACTGCACGAATAAAGGTAACGATATCGAGCTTCCGTTGTGAGTAGGAGTGAGAGATTGTTGCGCGATCGACTGAAAGGCGGGCAACAAGAAACAGCGGAAAGCTAGAACAATACCGTCTATGGCCAATATGCGATGCGATCAGCCGCAGAAGCGTCGTTTCAGCGAAGGTCTACACATCGGATGCGGGTCTACGCGATTGGTGATGGTGAGCCTGTTAAACAAACTTGAGCGAAACTAGTGGCTTGCATAACAGTACGGGCCAATCATAATGGAAATAAAAATAAAGCTAGAAAAATAACAATTGTTTTAATGGTATTGTAAATAGGAAATGGGTACATTGTAGCCTGTATTGTTAATTCGACTGAAATGACTAATGAATGAGAATGAGACAGACTGAAACTGATCTAAATACATAGAGGATCCGTAACAGAGTCATATAGTATCATTGAAACCAGAGGCACCTAAAAAATTGTCTGAATTATTTTTAAATGATTGCTGTTATATTACGGTTTTTATAGAACACGCAACGGGTCTCACGCATTTGCTGGTAACGGTCGTGTGCGTTTGTGGCATAAATTGGCCTAATATGTTTTCATTCGAAGTAAATGCGAGCTTCTAGCAAATGTCACACCTAAACGGATCGAGTTTTCTGTTGACGGCTATGAGAACCGCTTAAAGCACAGAAGCGACGCCGAAGTCGCACAGTCGCTAGAACTTATTTAGGTTCTACTGAGGCTCTACATGGATAGAACGGCTACGATACTGGCTGCATCATGATTTTGATGCTCAGTGTTATTAAACTGCAAATGAAAAACAGAACGATGCCTTACCTTACGCGCATGTACCCTTCGAGGTGTGTATGAGGAGGGCAGAAAAAGTTTCTAGGTAAAATGTCACTAGCGTAACTTTTCTGAGTAGATGTGTATTAGTTTGCTAAAATAGACGCGGCGGTCAGCTCTGAAAAAGGTAAATAGAAATACAGTGGAATAAAATCATCTCTACCGTAATCATCTCGTACTCAAAGAGAGGAAAGAGAAAATCGAAAAGATAGGTGCCGTACTTTTGTATCATTGATCCTATTTCTTCAAATGTGATAGTTGACTTTAAGCAGGCAACACGCTACATGAGCGCCATCTATCAGAAAGCAGAAAACTTTTAGCACAGCATGCTGTGCAGTATTCGTACTATTGTTAGCGTGTGGATTGCCCTACAGAAAATAGCAATATTATTCGGAGAATTGTTTTGTCTAAAGCTCAATTAAAATAGGTGAGAAAACGCATAAAATGCGAAACTTTATGCTAAACCTATGGGTTTTTTCAAGCGTGATAAGCGGCTTGAGCAGCTTCCTGCTCCTCTCGCGGTTCGCATAAAGGGTTAACGCATTAAACGGATCCGTTTTACTGAACTAAGACGGATCAACTCTTCGAATTAGTTTGATGAATTCCGTGGAAAACACAAATACGATTGCGCAATCAGTGAGACAGGTACCACAAGCATAGTTCATCACCGATGGGCGTTAAAGCACCTTCATTAATAAATGGCGAGAATAATAACTTACAGACGCAATGCGTATGCCCTCAGGCTAACATACATGGATCTATAAATTAGACACACAAGTGTAGGGTAAAGCCAATCACAAATTTATAGACGATGTGGACGCGCCCATACAATACGACCGAGCAATTAACTTCGCAAGCTGTCATTCGACCCCTGGTGCCCCCTGACACTACAAAAACGGGTTATTACATGTCATACCACTGATAGTAAACATCGTCCGTTCAAACAATCTGCTAGTAACTGAAGGACAGGAAAAGACCCGACCTGGGACGACAGAGAAGTCACTGTTTTTTGCGAGGCAGCCGTAATGTGTCTAATGGCAGGACAACGTGTGTCGAGCCGGGAAAGAGTCTAATTCAGGTCGTTGGTATTGCACATTCTACGATCGCTTCTAACTACAGAGAAAAATAAAAAATTACAATATTTGGCAAAATAGGTAGATGAGGATCAATAAGATACTCCGCTGAAGAGAACGGCAGAAAGCAGACAGTTAACTTAACTTTTGAGGGAAACGATATTAGCCATGGGCTCTAAAACACTAACTCTTACGTTATACAACATTATCATAGATTGTTATCCGTTCTAATTTTTAATAAGCTATTGTTCAGTTTGTTGCACGAAAAGATTTATACATATATATACACACGAACAAATACGAAATGGCTGGACTCCCAACGAGAGTTAAGGAAGTTAATACGATTTTACACCTCCTATCAATAGGGTCTTCGATTAGGCAACGTCATTCGTGTTAGCAGAAATGATAGTGACCTATTTTGACCTAAAATGCAGTTTTTTCTTCTTGTCTTTACTACTTATGAACGTTGTTGTTGTTCTTGGCCAAAACAGCGCGCCAGGACTTATCTATCCTGTACTACCCAAGGAGGTCGTTACCTTATGCACTCTATCGGGTACTCAACACCGGATGAGAGTATCTAACACGCCAATAGCAAAAATAAAATTACATCTATACTATTCGTGAATAAATGTATGTACACATATATTCGTCGATGTAAACATAGTAATCGTATTGCAGGAGCCCACACAAAAATGCACACCTTAAATAGAATAAGTAACAAAGGAGACTTATGTTGCTCTTTATTAGGTTGTCATCAGCATATAAACACTCGGTATAGCCGATATTCAATATAAATATTTCAAATGGTAATACAGCATCAAATAGGAAAAAAACTACACAAATGATACGTCCAGTGCACGGCCAGATGCGATGACAGCTGAACGCGACAGCAGTTCGACATGGAGGCGGTGCTGGTCGTATTTAAAGGTCGTTTACACAAGAGGGCCGCACGACGCTAGTGTCCTTCGCCTCGATTCGTGAAACCTAACCTTCATCGATTACTGCTGCTACGCCTAAGGTGTCCAAACTGTGACCAAATTAGATATTCGAGTATATAAATTATGTGTATAGGTAATTGTCATATTGAATAGCCTAAGCAAAAGCTGGAACACGGCAGAAAATGTAAAGCGTGCAAAAAATCTCCATATAGATGGATAAATAGAAGAAGACAGGAAAATCAAATGAAAGTTAGGAAATAACGGGTGTTAGACGAGAAACGCTACTCGAACATATAATGAAACTTGCAGAGATAAACGTGTCTCTGATAGGCTATCAAATTGATTATAGATAGAGAAAGAGAGATAGATTACTTGATCGAGAGCATAGATTATTCAGTTAGAAGTTATGCTACTTGAAAAATTATGCTGTTATAAGTAATGGACTTATTACAATCTTAAACATATTAATTAACGTAAAAATAGTTATAATGACTGATGGGCTAGGGTTTGCAATTATTACACAGAGGTAGACACGGTAACGTAGTGGCAAGGAAACGAGTGACGATAGTAATTGTGGACATATTGAGAAGCCTTCTAAATGAAATGGGAAAAGTATATAAAAAGATCCGTTGCCAAGAAGTAAAATGGTACCTAAAAAGGAATAAACCCTCGTTGATATCTTCGATATGCTGCAGGGCAATAGAGTAGGGAAATTTTCCTTTTTTCTATTTGAAAATTGCACAATATTTTCACTGCAGCGATCAAAAAAACAGGTGAGAAGTTGGTAAAAGGTTTGCCTGTTTGACACCGAGTCCACCGATGACCAGCTAACGTAAAAATATATGTCGTTTTTTTATCGGATATTGCAAAACAACACAAGCTGTAAGTTTCACTGTACTTAATCAGTTACTATATATATATATATATATGTATGCATGTATGTATGTATATATATATATATATACACATACATACATATATATATACAGAATGACATTAAAATATTTATTGCCATCATCGTCAGTACATGGCGGGATTATTATAATCTTTCCGAAAAGCTGGGACAGGATAAAGCAACTGTTGCGAAGAATAACCCAAATCGGTGTGAAAATAATCTTGCGGTAAGGAGAATTCATTGTCATCTATTTTTCTTAAGCTAGATCTGAAACATATTATGTAACATTAATGAGTGCACGTCGTCTATGTGGGAGTGAGTGATATGGCGATTGCGGTAACAACGACAATTTCGAAAAATGGCGACACTGACTTCCCACGAAGTATCTTATGAAATCCTGGCAGATGTCTTCGATTATTATTATTGTAAGTATCGTTGATAATGTTCATATGTAAAATACGAAACATTGTAACATATGCAAGGTGAATAAAAGTCAACAAGGCTCGGGGTGCAATTATACGGCCAAATAATACTGCTAGCGTAGAATAGAGAGGAGGATGTTTAATTGTGTAAAACCAATACATGATCAACACATTATATAGGTAGCGTGTGACGCAACGTTAGATCTTATTACTATAGTAGGTATTATTGCTGAAAGATAAATATAGTCATAGTGATAGTATGGGTTATTATTATTACTACATGGCCAATGATAATAGAGCAGTGAGTATATATATATATATATGTGCGTACGTACGTAACATATGTAGCGTAGGAGCGCAGCTTGGCGGGTTCTCGCCGTGAGCTTTTATGTCACTTAAACGTGGGTTGGTCAGTTTGTTAATATGAGGAAAGGAATCTATTACATGTGTCTATTGTGCATGTTGCATCCGTCATACCGTTACGTATACTGAACCAGATGATAAGCTATAACAATAGTAATGACGACTAATAATAATAGACAAAGGTTAGACAGTTCCACTAACTTAAGTTGATAATAAAACCTGTAAACACCAAGCGCTGTCCCGCGTCACATATGGGAGAGAGCAGGATACGCCAGCAATATACATATAAGAATAACTTGTACATATATCCCACACACGTACGCATGTCGAATTCATTTCGCAAGCACACAGGATACAGAGGCAGTCTAGACGGCAAGATGAAGGGATTTCGTTCGGCAGAGTAACAGAAAAGTTATGAAAATTAGTATACATAACAATGATGATTGTTAAGGCGATGACAAGGACAAAGAAGTAGGTCATGGGCACGATCATACTGACGAGACGCCATCCCAAGAAAATAATATAATCAATGAAAATTCATGTTGATTAAAACTGAAAAAGGAGAATCACTTTTTCGAGGTGCGGTGTATAATTTTAAGCGACAAACTTCCAGTTGCAATAACTTCCCACTGCAGCCTAGTTAAAAGCTTTAGAAAGATCGCTGAAGACGCAAAAGTACTAAATAAAGTGGTTACTATTTAGGCCTATATTATATATATTTATATTAGAAGGCCAAGAAAGAAATAAATATGGACTCGCAAAGATGAATGCACAAACAAAAAAATGCTGAAAGCATCAACTAGGATGCTGACGCACTTACAGAGAAGAATGTGCAGATAAGATTTGTAAATTTAAGACTATTTTTCATCATATAATGCGCATACAGTACGTTGAACAAACAAAAAAAACCAACAACGAATAAGCACAATATAAATGAATCAATCGTATAAATCCCACATCTCTTATAAAGTCATAGTAATAGCTTATTTAACAAAATTGACGAGTACCTTTCATAGATATGCCTAAGCCTGATGTCAACGAAGGAATGACTAGTTTCTCAAAGGGTTTTCTTTTTTAGATTTCCACCTCTTTGACATCTCCAACTAACTTTTTACTTACTCATAAATCAGGCGTAAAAAAAAAGTCGATTTCTTTATCACCGTGTCGCAATGGCACATACCCAAATACCATGGTGCTTCCAACACAATTATAAACATGATAGTGTATCTAGACATGGAAATTTAGTATGGCGCATGCTCTCACCAGAAGATCTTTTTCCTCAGTAGCTGCAGTCGTGAGATGATCGTTCTGTTTTGACATCACTGGCACAAATTAAGCACTAATTAATGAAGACGACCTTCTTAAATAATCAGTTGAATGAGCGAAAACAATATGCTCGAATAGTAAACTAACGTCCATTAAGAAGCTGAACATGTTTACGAGCAAATTTCGATCAGTAAACCTGACAAACGAATAGGAGCATTGTCTAACGTTCAAATCAGCCTTCTCGCGTCCTTTGCATATCATCATGCTAACCGATCGTAACCGAATACCCCGAAATTGAATGATGATACGCAGTAGCGGACGAGTCATCTATAATAGTTGGCGAAATTTCCGCCAATCGTTTGACCCTGCGTGAGTGCGCTCCCCTTTGTTCTTACCGGGTCTGAACCTAGGCCAAATGGGTTTTGCACTCAATATAGAATCAAATTAAACGTATTTACCGTTGTTGTTGTGGTAGTAGTGTATAGTTGATGCTTGTCTGTGTTAGTTCGTTGATGTTCCCACGTGCTCTAGTGTTGATGGCGTAGTAGAAGTTAAAGAGACATCATGATATTATACCTTGACTGTGTTTTGATGGTACGGGATGACAGCTACAGTGTTTCATTGTTGTATCACCACTAATTTGACAGCTGAACACGGCTTCGGCCTAAATGGTAAAGTTTAATCTAATCAAGCGAAAGGAAGCCCGGTGTCGAAACGCGGGAAGGTCCTAATGAAGAACGACTCGGCTAACGAGGTATTTAGCCAAACATTCATATGCTTTTTATGTGTCGCAAATTTGTTTAACGCTATAGGCATCTGTCACACATGTATATGTAAATCAATGAGCATTTCACATAAAATATTGAACACAGCATTGTGTTTGCACATTACCTACCTAACAGCAACTCGGATTAAAGGACCTATATCCTATTCAATACATAATGAAACTAATGGAAAAGGTACCTAAGTAAGGTGAACGACGAGTAACACGGAGACGGACAGGGCTGTGCTTACCCAGAAAAAAAATCGCAGCTACGTACTAGTAACTAGCGATAATATCTAACAGACTAATAACGTGAATGGCAGACTAGAGAGACGTGACAGCGCCTATGTCAATATACAGATATATATGAATAATACGATATTTAGAGAATGGTACTGACTACGGCGGTGAGAATAGGGTATAGCTAAACAGATGCCTAGAAAATGAGATAATGATAATTAGAACGATAGAGGTACGGGGATTAATTTGGCCATATACAATACATGTGCGTGTTCAAACCCTGGATAAATACCATATGGTCGAAAAGCAACAACCCGTTCGTATTGAACACTTCTAGCGATCAGTTTGTGAACACCGATAAATAATTAGACAACAAGAGAAGCAGCGATGTTTCGTGACAACTAATTATAGTGTGATTAGAAAACCACAAAAATGACACGGCGCACTATTGATGAACGAATTTTTCATGGACAAGCGACAGCAGGAAGTATATAGATCTATTGGGTCTGGGTCTAAGGAATAAGGTACAATACTTGACGAGGCCACTGGAAATGAGAAAAAAGTAGATTTTACTTTAATTAATTACGTCGACTTTTAAATAACAGCTGAAGTCTGTCTAGCCGGAAGGTACTAACATACACGTTGATCGCACCTGCTTCTCCTATAAGGACTGTCACGTTATAATGACTTACTGCAGTAAAGCACGCAATATGCAACAAAGCCATAAATTATTGTCAATATGAAAAGGAAAACAGCAAAAAACAAGCTAAAGGCAAGAATCTACTTTTTGTACGAAGTACCCAGTTGAAAGTTACTGCTTCTTATCCATCAATCTTAATTTAACACATGCCATACCGCCACCATAAGTCCAGCATTAATCAAAATAGAGCTAGTTATAAATGCCGTCCATATAAATAAAGGATCGATAAAAGAACAAAACTCAAACAATTCACACACTACTACATGCAAATGATCACATAAGATCAACAGTTGTCGATACGTTTGTGGGCGATGGAAAAAATAGAAGGGGAATTTGTTTTGTCGGTTCTCGTTCGTCCGGTCGTAAATATGTGGCTAGTGACCTTAGACCTCATGCAATTGCTGTATTCGTTACATGCAATACATTATGGGGGCAATAAATTATCGGTGGTGGCCAGTAGTTAGACACAAGATAAAGTAGTGCAATCGAACGGTTCTAAAAGAAATGCCTGGCCCAAAGTTAGATAGGTGGCAAATGTAAACAACGTCTCTCTGTTACTATTACTTCGAACGAGGCGTTATTAGCCGACGTGAAAAGCTGCGTCAAACTCTTCAATTTACGCATGATTATGTTACTACCTTATTCAAACTGCCCGCCACTTTGTACTACAGTGTACATGTCTGACGTACGTATGTCGTCTGCTTATGACCATAGCAGCAGCGAAAGTTCTGCCGATACAGAGAACTTTTAACTAAAATTAAATACTATTCTGATAAAAAAAAAAAAAAAAAACTCTGTCCTTTTAGCAGATTCTAGGATGAGTGGGTGATCTATGCTGGAAACGCATGTATTACCATCGTTTGAATGAGCCCAAATCGTAGATTCTTAAGACACGTGGGAATCATTACATGCGTAGAACTATCAGCAAAATTAAAAACATATGTGTCATTAATAACAGGTTATTTTTTTTAATTACGGTAGTAGGGTGCAATTGACAGATACGACTTAACTATTTGGACTTCAATTTTGTGAAAGAGTGCAAATCTAAAGTACATGAACCTATTAAACGGCGATTTCGAGCACAGGAAAACTATAAAAAACGGGTCTATAATAAACGGGTCTGGGTAAAATTTTGTCTAAGTTTTCTTATATGTTTGTTGCGCTGCATTTCTACGTCCCACATACCAAGAAATAGACTGTTAGTGAAATGACTGTAGAACGCGCAGATTTGATGACATACTGTTCGGGATATCCAATCAATCGTTAAGATTGACACAAAAGGTGTTGTTGTGGTTGGCTACCGTGCTGGTAACGGTCATCATCGTAACGAATATTGGTTACAAGATCGATGAAATGTTTGCTTAGTGAACTGCCGACGAACGAATTACACTGTTCATTCTATTTTTGCACTTTTGTCACGGCAAATACGGATTTGCATAAAGTTTAGACGGCTCCAGCCTCAGCTAGAAGCAACAGCCGGCCTGCACACGTTTATGAAATAAAAAAACTATCTGTCAGTACTGCCGCGATCAATCAGGCGCGTAGTAGGGACCTCAAGGAACCGCTAACCGCATCTGACTACATCGGTTTTTACCGCATCGCTACATTTACCCGTGAGTCTAGCGAGCTTGGGAGAAAAAGATTTTAAGTGGTGATCGCTGTCTCTGCCGTAGTCCTTCAGATTCTTTCGTTTGAACTTCATGAAGTCGATCGATGCGAAATTCTGCGGACGACGCACAGACCTGGGAGAAAAAAACGTTTCAAAGAAACCAAGTATCAAGAAAAACCGCGTATATCGTTAAGCAGCGAGTCAAAAGACATGGATTTCGTTCTATTATTTCCCGTATATATA